TCTTAAAACTAATAGTTTAACAGAAATTAACCCTTTTCCTACTACTAACTGTAATGTATATGCAATATATGGTTACCACTTTATATTTGAAGTAATTTCATTTATTTCTTTTATTACTTTTTTCATATTTACCCTATTATCAGTTACTATTATATTTGTTATATTTCTTAAATCCCACTTATCTAAAATAATAAAGAATGCATCAGATATATTTTGTGTATTATGAGGATATCTAATATGTTTAATTGTAAAAATAATTTCATGAATAGTAAAATTTTTATCTAAGAAAGAACAAGTAATACCCAAAAATCCTAATCTATTTCTACCAGTCTATATATCAGTAATTAAACTAACTGAAATTGTATTATCTTCAATAAATTTTTGAATTAAGAAAAGTGTATGATTATAAACACTATGGATAGTTTGCTTAATTAATTTAACATTTAAAATTTCAAATGCTAGATTAAGTTCTTTTATAAATTTTTGAAAAGATTTTGATTGTATAATATTTAAAGGTTAAGTATCAAAAATTATCCAACTAATTAATAAATTACGAAGTTTAATTTGATAAGACTCCTTATGTGGTGTAACTTCTAATTTATGAAATTCTTGAGGCTAAAAATATATTAAATAATTAATTAATACTAAATTATTACATTTAAATAAATAAATTACTATTTATTTAATTTATTTCTTATTACATAATTTTGCTTAATTGTTTTTTTAGTTATTTGATACTTATTACTTAAATGGTCTATTAAGATACCTGTTGAACTTCCATGCTGATATTTTTTATCACATATTTTACTTATAATAACTTCTACTTGACATATAACAATTCCATCATTAGATATAAACCAATCCTATACCTAACTTTTTTTTTGTGACCTCCTCTTTTTTTTGAATTTTATTTGAATTATTTTGATTATTTTCAACAGAACTTAAATCCATATTTATAAATTTATTAAAAATTTATTAAAAAATATAAAAACTTTTTACAAAAAAAAAAAAAGAGCATATGTGTGAAAAAAAAGAATATATAAATCAAAAAAAAAGAGTATGTATAACAAATATTTTTATAAAATAACCAATCTTTTTTAAAGTTAGATAAAACAAAAGCTTTATATAAAAATTTTATAGAATATCTTAATTGTTTTACAAAAGTGAATCTATCCTTTTTTAATTAACTATTTAAAGTATATGTAAATTTTAAGCCAAAATCAAAGAAATATTTATAGTATTATTTTTGAATCAAAAAAAAGTGAAGTTTATTTATTTCTTTTATAATCCAAATTGAAATAACAGTCCAGGAAGGTGTTTCCTAAAGAAAAGAAGCAAAAAAATGATAATGACGTTCCAAAGACAAAGAAGAAACAAAAACAATTCCCTACATTACTTACCTTTATAGTCTAAACTGAAATTCAGGTCCAGGAAGACGTTTTCAAAAAAAAGAAGCAAAAAAACGTTAATAGCATTCTAAAGATAAATAAAACAAAAAAAACTATAAGAAAAGAAATAAAAGAAACATTAATGGCATTCTAAAGATAAAGAAACAAAACAATCTCCTACACCACTTTACCTTTATAATCCAAACTGAAAATTAAATCTAGGAAGGCATCTTCTAAAGAAAAGTAAAAAGAATATTAATGGCATACCAAAGATAAAAAAACAAAAACAATCTCCACACTACCTTACCTTCATAACCCAAGCAGAAATCCAGGTCCAGGAAGACGTCTCCTAAAGAAAAGAAGCAAAAAGAACATTAATAGTATTCTAAAGACAAAGAAGAATAAAATAAAACTACAAAAAAAAAGTAAAAGAAACATTAATAGCATTCTAAAGATAAAGAAAATCAAAAACAATCCCTCATACCATCTTATTTTCATAGCCCAAGCAGAAATCCAGTCCAAAAAGGCGTCTCCTAAAGAAAAGAAGTAAAAGGAACGTTAATGACATTCCTAATGACAGAAAAAATAAAACACCAACTTACCTTCATAGCCCAGCTAAAATCTAGGTCCAAGAAGGCGTTTCTAAAGAAAAAAAGTAAAATAAAAGTTAGTAATGTTTCTAAGACAAAAAAAGGAAGAATTTTGCACTTACTATTTGAATTCAAGCTATTCAAGTCAAAATTTAGAGTAAAAGGTCTAGAATGAAAAAGGGAAAAAAAGAAAAGAGAGAGAGTGTGTGTATGTGTATGTGTATGTTGTATATGTATGTGTGTGTGTGAGAGTGAACAGTGTTATTATGAGATATTGATAGGACACTGATAAGACATTGATAGGACAGATAGGATATTTAGAACATAGTGTAAAACAGGTTGGAACATATAGCTAGTACATATAGCTAGGACAACAAATCTCTGGGATATCAAAAATGTACATTACTGTGAGTGAGTAATGTAATACGTAGATTTAATATTATCATTATTGTAAAAAAAAAATAAAAATAAAAAAAAATTTATGCTTATCTAAGTCAAATTGACCGTCTAATTTGTTCACTAAATATCTGATGATCCATTTGGTCAATCTAATGATATAAATAGATCAATCTGAATTCAGTTAAATTTTGGATGGATGACCGGATATTCAGATTGATTGGATTCAGAGCACATCTCTACTTATCAGAATACATCTTACTGATTAAGAATGATAGAAATGTTCAGGCTTCTTTGAGTATAGTAATCAAATTTGTACAAGATTTGTTAAAAGAGCTACTCTCATCTGATGATCTACTCCAAACTATAAAGTTTTCTTCTTCTAAAATTATAGTTTCCAGATCAATAAGTATCAAAAAACTTATCAATTCATTTTATCAGGTGAATTTTGTAAGAAATAAAACGATTATAATAAAGCAATTAGAGATTATGTTATAGTATTTATTCTCTAAAAGGTTTAAAAATAAAGTTGTGAAGCTTAGGTTTAATGATAAGAAACTTATAGATCTAACTACAAAAAAGTGGATCTATAATGAAATAAAATCACATTTTACAGACATTTTGATTAGATATTTATAAATAATAATCTGTAAAGTGAAAAAAAATCAATAAATTATTTAGGTATAGATATAATTCTGTAATTCTGAAAAAGATTAAAAGTATACTGAAATATATAGTTTAGCTAGTCACCTGTAACTCTGATAAAATTTTAAGGCTCATTAATCCTTAAATCAATTATATTATAAAATAATTCAATTCAAAAAATGATTGCTAGTTGTGTGAATAAAATTTCCTTAACTATAACTATTACTTTAGTTCATAACTCTAACTTAGATAACTTTGACACTAATAAATTTTATTTTGATGTATATTTCAAATTTGATGATTCTGATACTAATAAATCTGATTTTGATGTATATTTTAAATCTAATAACTTCAACTCTGATGATAAGTATACAGTCAACTCTTATTATAACGAACTCTATGTCCTAGACCTCAACTTCACTATAAGGCTATAGTGAAGATTTTAAGAGATTTGATTGGCCAATTCGCTATAACAAGAGTATTTTTATTATATTTGTTCAAAAAATTCGTTATAACAAAAGTTTGCTATAACAAGAGTTGACTGTAATCACAAACTTTATAAAAAGTTTACGCATGAAGAAATAGCTTAATTAGCAAAGTTAAAGAAAAAAAACACTAATTAAGCTTAAAGTAAATGATGTCAATTTTGATAAATACTCAAGAAAGTTTACAAAAATAATGATATATATTTTGATGATCCTGTACTTCAGTCAGTAATGAATCCCACTATCTCTCTGGTAACTGCCTAGAAGTAATATTAAAGAATTATCGTATAGTTTCTTTCTTTTTTTCAAATTATGTGAGTGACTTAGTTAACATACAAACTTCATTTATATTTTCTTTTAATATTCTGTAATAAGACGTTACTACCTCATTAGTTTATATAAATTATATTTGAAGAATATTCTATGTATAGTAGTACGTCACTAGCATTTGCAGTAGTAGGATCTATTAATAACTTTGGTCAAGAGCAATATTTTTATATTGCTATACTGATAAACTTCTTTCAAAATTCTAGTATGTTCTATTTTACTCATTACGCAAATCTGAATTACTAATAAAAAAATATATCACTGATTTATATGTGGATTGTAAGACAGGATGTTAATAAAAAGAAATTTAAAAATGAAAATAGAGTGATTAAAATATATAATTTATGGATCTTCAGATAAATGGTAAATCTTTATTATCCTAGTTTTGTTAGTACAATTAACTATGTGTATTATTAATCTCACATTAATCAGTTTTTGAATAAGAATTAGTAATACATATTCTAAATAATTACAATTTCAAGTTTTCCTTTATCTTATCCTTTTTCTTTTATTTCAAAATTGATTATTAAACTACTACTGTTTATGTTAAATGATATAAAACTATAATTTATTGACTGCAGTAATCTAACTTCTTTCTAGGAATCAGCCTAATAAAAGTGATCAGGATCTAAAAAAAACAAATATGAACAGATCAGAAATAGATAAAATCTTTTTCAAAAATAGGTTGGATGTAGATAATATGTAAAGTGATTATAATTACTGAAATTGAATTATAAATACATAGCTTTATTAATAATGGGTAACCTTTACAGAATTATGATAAACATAATACTAACTTGCTATCTTTTTCGAGAAATATTTATTAAAATTAACAATTTGAAATTTGTTTATGATTTTAAAAAATTAATTAAAGAAGAAAAAAAGATATTTTCTCCGATACTGAGGTTAATAACTTGGAACTTTGGGAGTAGAAATTCATAATGACAATGCAGACAAATTTTCAAGTTTCATCCTGTAAGATAATAAGAGTAAAGACATAAAGAAACTCAAAACAATAAAACTTGTTAGTAATTACTAGGAAAATCAACCTTCTGCAAATTTTATTTATATTATTGTTGATTCAAATTCTTGATCATGTTAAGAAGTTTTAATCAAACAACACTGGATTAAGGTAGGTCAACTTATCATTAGTAATGTGATTTTCCAACATGATATATTCTAACACAAATTTTTTAGAACAACCTATTGAGGATCCTGATAGTAGAGAAAATGGGTATAGTGAAGATACAAATAAAGCTTTTTGGGTATTAACAAATTCAGGTATTTTTATTATTTGGAATTTTAGTGGTAATACAACGTAATATAGCTCTAACTTGGAAAATAACTAATAGATCCACCTGAACAACGATATAGATATTTGGATAATCATGAAAATGTTTGAGAAGAAGTTGTTTGAAATTTCTTAATCTCAGAGAAGCTGTAAATATGGGTGAGATAATTTATTTCGGAAATTTAGTATAGTAAAAGAGTTTGGGATGAAAATCACGTAATTAGAAGTATAAACAAATTAGTTATAGATACTTTTTGTAAAGAAATAACTTGACGCTAGGACTCTCATTAATGGCCTAAGATCTGAGTACTCCCTCTCTCTTTGATAGCATCATTTGTTTCACTCACTTCATTACTCATGCTAAATTTTTTTATTTAAAAAAACAATAAATTTCACCTACGATTAACATATGTGTAATTCTTCTATATTGCGAGAATTCTGGGAGGATTACATCGCTCCCTCTCAGCCAAGTTGCCACTGGTCATAGCAGAATTGCTAGAAAATGGCCCAACTCGACTGAGCTGAATTCTCGCAATTTTCAAGATTTTGAAAAAGTATGAGAAAGTATAATTAGTATTTAATTTTCAAAGAACTAAAAAATTTTTTAAATTCTCTACTGACCCTTTGCAATTTATCAGACCTACCAAAGTAGTGAATACTCTGAGAGGATAAAATCGCTCTCCCTTAATTGAGTTGCCACTGGTCATAGTAAAATCGCTAGAAAATGGCCCAACTCAATAGAGTTGAGATTCACTACGCGCGACCTTTCAACTCAACGAAAGAAGCCAAAAGTCTGTCCAATTTTTTGTGGGTGAACTCTAGGAGGATGAAATCGCTCCCTCTCAACCAAGTTGCCACTGGTCATAACGGAATTACTAGAAAATGGCCCAACTTGGTGGAGCTGAGATTTGGATTTGTTAACAATTGTTGAGTATTCAAGATTATAGGTTATCATAGGACCCCGATTGGAACCTCGTTGTGATAATTAAAATGGCCAGTGTACATAGTTACACTTATGTTACTTAGGAGAATTATTCCCAAAGTATACGAAACAGTATTCAGGGGGCCCTGTTATCATCAGAAGATCACGCGTCGGTGACAAATACGCGTGACTGTTTAACAGTTAAAATGTTAAGAAATGTTAAGTCCCTGATGTGCTTTCCTTGATGACCAGTAACACAACAAACATGTCTAGTAGCAATATTCCAATCCTACTAAAAAATAGAAAGTTTAAAGTTTCTGAGAGTACTTCTGCGTATCACAAATTTTTTAAAACAACTGAGGCATCGAAATGGAATTTCTCCAAATTTATTTCATTCTTGATTGACATCGACGACGATGAAGCGAAGCCTATATTTGCAGAGAAGATTTGGCAAACGAGTATATCAAAGTTATCACACAACAATTCAGTTTCTCAAGCTATTTGAAAATTTACTGCCGAAACCTTAACACATCATTTCGTAAGTATTGAATCATTCGATAATTATGAGAACCTTCTCACTTTATCTCTTTATCTAACAGGCGGAAAATAACTGCACAGCGATACAAAATGCGCTCAAAAGCCTCAAGGAGTTTTTTTCCTCCAAGCTCATATTTCAGCCTAAAATCTCATTAGCTAGACACGTCTCTGAGACATCCAGAATACTTTATTCTACCGCAATATCTGGAAAGCGCGATCGTGTATTTGCTTCATACATGATGTCAGAAGAACCGTGTCCAAAAGTTCAGAAAGTAGATCATGATGTCCAGAAAGATGACCTTTTTTCTGGTCCATCTAAAGAACATGAAAATGATACGGAGAAAGTGGCCGTCATTTTTACCAATACTACGCCTACTACCACTATTGCTTTAAACAGGGAGAAATAGATTTTTCGATAGCTGACGCTCTCCCTCCACAAAATACTTCCAATTCAAATTCATCTACATTAGGTGGTTCCGATGCTTTGGATCTCTTTAGTCCAATAATGACTGATGTTATACAAAAGGAGGATTCCTATTTTCAGGAACTATCATTAGTCGAGGTATGACATCTTCGTCTTTTTACAATTCAATACTGCCCATCATTATCCATCACTTAACAGAATTTTTTTTGCATCATAGGAGAACTTGATCATCGAAAAACTTACTAAAAGTAAAAATAGTATTGTAAGGTACCGAATTATATTCTTACCAGAATGCAATATCCATGATCCAATTAAGCGCCTGTATACCATTTAGGGATGAAAATGGAATTAGACTGAGACAAGGTTGGTTACATTTTATTTATTTCTTGATTAATTTCACTTTTTTTTTTTTTTTTACTGACAATTAGTTTCTAGATGGAAGAAAAGATAGCAAGTTCTCTTCCTTTGTTTGAGGAAAATATGCAATCACTTTTGAAAAGTATAGCGAGTCCATTAAGGATGCCAGCACCGGATATTATGTCGATCTAAATAAAGTCAAGACTACTATCAGTCAAAGCCCGTTTGTAGATCAACATTCATATTTATTTGTAAGAGACTGGCCTCTTCGATGGGCCCAACAATTATACACTGCTTTGTAAGGACACCATAACTAAATTCTATAAATTATTCATTTATATAATTAATAATATTAATTATATACCTGTAATTTATAGCTTAACGTGTTTCCAAACCCCTATCAACCCTCTCAATGATGCCGATGCAAGTGAATATGCATATAAGAGTCAGCTTATAAATCATTTTTGGGAGGATGTTTTCTTTGATGTAAATTGTGTAATCCAAATGAAAACGTAAGCCACTTCATTTTTTGCTTTTTTTTTGTCCTGTCCAAAAAAGTTTATGTATTCATATACATCTTGCTTCCAACTAGAGGTGAGGTTGAGAATGTTGACCGGAGAAACCAACTAGGTCTCGCGAGAAATCCAGATGATCGTAGATCAAATGTTGGTAGTTGTTATCACGATGCTATATTAATCATGAAAGTTGGAGATAAGGATATTCAAGTAGCATTTGGAGAAGTTGTTGGAAATGCATTCAAACACGATGACACGAAATTGTATGAAGATCGAGAGAAAATACTTAAAGGTAAATTGAAAGTAAATGTTAAGTTTATCCTTGTGAAAACAACTAACAAAACTATTTGGTTTATAGCCATGTAGTTGGCCCTTTTTAATCTTCAGAAATTACTTCCTGAAAAAGATCCAGGTCTTGAGGATTTAGAAACTTTCGGATTGCTAGTTTATAGTAAGGAGTAATCTACCTTATTTATTTTTCTTTGTAACATTTATTAATCCGAAGCCATACCCACTTGTATAGAGAAGGAACTTTTTATGTATTCTATGCATTTAGTCGATGGAATATATCTCATTGATCAATTTAGTGGATTCACAATTCCCGATACTCCTTTACATTTAGGAAATCTACCCGATATCATTCATGTAATGATTATGTTTAAGGTAATGAACCTTATTCATCTGACTTGACTGTCATTATTGTTTACATTGATTTTAACACTTACTTATTATATTATTCAGCATCGCGTTATGAAACTACGATAGCACGTGGAATCCTTATATAAATCCAAAAAGAGTTTTAAACGTAGCGGCACTCGACACACAAACGATTCTACAGTTTATGCGTCACCACAGAAAAAATCTAAATAATAATACTTAAAAAAAAAAATAGATTAGATTAATTTACAATAAGAGAACATGTACATTGTATAATACACGCAGTATGCCATATGAATCTTAAATTTTAATAATTTCACTTAATTAATTGCACTTTCGTTATTTTTCTGACAAAAAGAATTTTGATTGGTTACATGTGATTCTTTAATTATAATATATACCAGATATCGCTTCTGACACAGCAATGACGTACACAGGGAAAATCACATTTGTGGATTGAAAAAAATAACTGTCAGATCGACAAATTATTCAGGTAAATGACACTAGTGATGGGACTTAATCAATAATTACTTATTAAGTTAAAAATTGAGTCAGATATTACCTAATATTATATTAATATAAGCATCTACCCCCCCAGGTAAGATATGTTGCGGAATCACATTGATATGATTTTATATATCTAATAGGGATCTATAAAATTTCTTTCGATCTGAGTTAAAAATTTCATTTGATAATTAATAAATCTGGCTGAAATTAAAGTTTATCAAAGGTACAATAATATAGCAATTGCCCTTCAAAAATTTCAGACAAAATTGCTTTTGAAAATTACGTCCCTGACATCTGATAAAATAAAGTAATCAAAGTGATCAAAAAAAATTTTTTTTGATATAATTTACTATAGTTTAAAAAAAAATTGATTATAGTTTAAATCTAATACTTAAATTTGAAAAAAAATTCCTACAATGTTTGTGATGATCTTTTCCAAAAATTAGTTATAGTTTTATTTAAAATTCGTAAAACTTTGACATGTTTAGTATTTTACACTCAAAAAATTCTTTTCATAAACATTGATATTTTGCCTCAAATATTAAAAAATGAGTTGCCAAACATTTTTTCTTAACTCTAAATTTAATAAAAAGCCAATATATGATTTACTATCTAATAAATATCAGAAGTTTACAAATGCTAATGTGTATAGTGTTATGGTAAAAACAAGTAACCATACTCCTGATTGTGCCATTGTTTGTCGAGAAGCCATAAATGAGTGGAATAACATTAAGAAAAAGAGTGTTGATAATATTGGTGAAGTAATTCAGGACTATATGGGCACACCACTTAATCTATATGAGAGAGTTTCTAGGAAAATCAGGTTCTGAGAAATTTTTGACTAAAATTAAGAGTTTAATACATTGTAATATAATAATATCAAAAACTAAAATGCAATAAAAATCAAAATTTTACTAAAAAATTCCTAGAATTTGATTTTTCTAGTAATCAACTCATATGACATAAAATCAATAAGATATAGACATTCTATACCTACAGAAAAAATGAATCCTTCTCTCTTCCTTTCACTATTCATTCAGTAGACTCTCTACCAGAAATTTCTGCTAATGCTTCAGCCCAAAGAAAGGTAGCAAATACCATCCAAATAGCTGAAAAATTTGCGAATATGAGCAGATTTATAATATTGCCAATGATATTCAGATTCATAATAACATGTACCAAAAAATAGAAAACTTGCGGGATGAAGTTAAATCTAATAAAAATAGAATTATCAAGTTAAAAAGAAATGCTATATATGCCCAAAATTATAAAGAAAAAAAATTAAGATAACTTATTAAAAACAAAGAGGTTATCTGTTACCATAAATCTAAAAAGCTACCATTTCTCTTCAAACATCTGGATTTATATGAATGTATATACAATTTGTAAAATTTGAATTGGCTGATGCAAAATGACAAAAGGAAGTTATTAAAGTTCAGATAATAGAATATCTACGTAAAAATCTTGAAAAAAGATATGAAATTTATATAGTGAAGACTACATTGAAAAGTTACCTTTTACCTTATTAATCAATTTCAATTGCTGCAAAGCATACTATCATCCAGTATAGATCACGATCGTTAGAGTTTCGCATACTGAGATACGTGAATATTCTGATAGCTATTATTGCCTCATATCAGTAAAATGTGCAAAGTAATTTGCTAGTACTTTTACTAATGTTTTAGTTATCATCTTCCAAAATGATAAGGTGAAGATCAGACTTGAAGTACCTGCAATAAGTCGCATATTCTGCATATTACAATCTGTTAATGAACCTATGACCATAATAGACTATGATTTTTCTATAGGATTCAAATAAAAATTAATCCTATCAGTATATTTAATTATAAATTCAAACGAATCTAACAACAAATTGCGAACAGAAAAATTAGTGATTTTTATACATTTCTAATGGTTTTTTGATACATCTTTGTTTACGTATATGCAAGATCTAAAAAGTCTTATTTCAAATTTTCAATATGACGATGTGTTAAAGACAAATGGAACAATTTAGCCAATATAGATTTTATTAGTGAACAGAGGGTCAGATGAGAATTCTAAATATTTAAAAAGTATAAAATCCTATTGTCAACTTTTTGGAAAATTCGATTTGAATTTCTTAAGTATAAGAACATATATTCTAGGTCAATCAAAGTATAAACTGGTTAAAAAAGGTATGGCAACATTATCTGATAAGCTTACTAGAATCATCTTACCAATTGACCATTTCAGTATACATTTGAATACATAAAGAAAAGTTATTAATCTGAAATTAGTTGCTCAAAATTATCGCTATTCAGAAAAAGCCTTTGTAAAATTTAGCGTTGTGATTTAATTTTCAGAAAGAAGGTTGATGCTTGTTATATTGATATACTCATAAATCTATTTGAGCATATACAGTTTGAGAGAACAGAAAGAAAAAAGTTTGAAGAATTAAAAAGGAAAAAAAAAACAAAAAAATCAAATAATATAGTAAAAGAAACAACACATATCCATTTTAAATGTTTTATTCTATGGTCTTAAATCGAAACCCACTGTAATTTGTGCACCTATTCTCTTGATATCAAATAATGCACAAATGTCAATTGCTGTGAACCACCTAAAACCAAAGAAGCTATAGACTTTCTTACTTATATAATAGCTTTTTACCACTAGTTACCAAAGTCAAAATGGCTGATTCATAAACCTGATTCATCTTTTTCAGTATGGAGATCTCCTGAAAGTATCAGGTTATGATACACATTATGCGTCTATTGAAAAAAATACATACTTATGACTTTGCTGCCTTATTTATCAGAAATATTTTCTAACTCTCATATTCTTAATAAATCATAAATAATTAATGTATTCTACTATTCAAGAATTGCCTAAAAGATAACAAAACTCAGCTTTTGATAATTTTTCTCTTCTCTTATCTCAACAAAAGAGGTTGTATGATGAAATGGAACTTGAACCAAGGATTTATAACTCAGATGAAGAATAAGTAAATTTTACAAAAGGTGTGTTTAAACATATGTGAATTGCAATAAATTTAAATGTATGCATGTTGCTATATTACTATATTAGTCCATAATAAATATATGCTTAATAAACTATTTTATCAAATGATTATTATATGATTAATATTAATATTACGTGATTATTATATTATATATAACCTAAGATCTGCTTTATTTTCTCATTCCCTAAGATATTAGGTAATATCTAATAGTGTTCTTATTAATATTAAAAATTCTGATTGGTCAAATTTAAATAAATCACGTGATAATATTTTTTCTAATGAAGTGAGAATCTTTTTATTGAAAATTATATCTATAATATGAAATTAACTCCTTTAGTCAATGCTATTTCAATTAATTATAGATTAAACATCTCAAGCAAAGTAGGAAACTGTAAATTATTATTGCTATCAAATATGCTAATATAATTAATTATTCTTGCTGATGCTTGTTCTAAGTCATTTATCATTTCATCTACATTCACATTATCTCCATTTGATATATCATCTTCAATATTATAATTCAATCTATTATATATTTTCAAAGAATCTTAAGCTTTTTTTGAATTATTTATAAAATATTTTTCTCTTAAGTACCATATAATTTGTGTCATTTTGATAGTTCTTTTTGGTAATAATCTATTATACTGTTCTGTATGTATATTACCTATAAGAGACCACACCTTTTCTAAAGTTACTAAGTTTGGTGAAATTAAAAAAAGTCTACAAGCAAATTCAGCTAAATTTAATGCATAAAGTAGAACAGTTCGCCAATATCTTAATGGAATTTTGGTAAGTTTTGAACTATTTAAAGATTCTGCTTTAAAAAGACCTTTCTTGTTTTGATAATTTAACAATTCATTTACAAATGTATTATTATTTTTATCTAGATATAATATACAAAATAATATATAGGCATCTTCTTAAATTTGTAATAATTTTGTTAGATTAATTCCTCCAATATAATGATATAGATGTAAAAATCAGATAATGTGAAAAATTGAATTATAAATTTTTCTCCATTGATTATCAATCTTATTACCCATTAAAGTTTTAAATTCTCTTTTACTAGAAGGTAATTTGTTAATAATTTCTCTTAACTATGCCTATGTAGCTACAACTTGTTTAAGAGTAACATGTTCAAATTTCAAAATTATAATAATATGATCATAAGGCTTTAATAAATTATAAAACATTATAAGTTTTTCTCAAAATTCAAGTTTTGCTATAGTATTAATTATATGATAATTATCTGTTCTTCTATTTGTAATTAAAAGATTAGAAGAAATTAGTAAAATTTAAAATTATAAAATGATTAACTATTTATTTTACTTATTTTTATAGTATCTTAAAGCAATAAAATAGTTTTTGCAGCCTTAGAAAAAGTTGCTTAACGTGTAATATAAGAATACTGAGATGTTAAATTTGGATTCTGTAATAATTCTCACAATTTTGTTAAGGTCAAATTTGAATTTTGAAAATGATTAATTATTATCAAAAGTATTTTATAATAGATTCAAAAATAGGTAACTTTATAATCTTTTGAAAAGCAAATTTGTTTGGTGAGCCATACAAGATATAGTAAGAACTTTTTCACTTATTT